CTCTGTCCCCCTGAACAGGAGGCAGGCACGGGAGGAAAGCGGCCACTTGATTTTACCTGCACGTTTTTAGAAAGACCCAGCTTCAGCATGTGCTCCCGTGGGGGCTCTGGGCCCCCAGCTGTCTCTCCTTCTCCTGCTTCCCAGAGCCGGGAGGCGAGGAACCGGCTGAGGGGGCCCAGGTGTTCTGGTGTCAACCTGGCCGTGCATCCCCTGGCTTCAGACCACTTCAGCTTCCAGACCTGCGTCTGTGGGGCTCAGGAGCCATCTTCCTGTGGTGGGGCCTGTCCCACGGGCTGCCTTCCCCACCCGGAGCTTCGCTTGCCGTAGATGGTACCCTTGGGAGCAGCACAGTCAAGGTCCAGTCCTGTGGGAACACGGCATCGTCCTGTGACCTTGCCGCAGCCTCTGTGTCTGTGGGTGGTTGTGACAGAAATAAGCAATAGCTTTTAATACTTGGAAAATATTTTTTAAACTTAGGAATTTTATTGGTTCATACATTAGATTTTTTTTATTGAAAGATAAACAAAAAATGGCCTTTATTTCACTGTCAGGACCATTCCCAAAGACTTTTTTTTTTCTTCTTCAGTAAAATATGTCCAAGGTTAAGAACTTAACAGCAAAGAATAGAATAAAAGGGAATGAGCGGTGGGGGAGGGCTGAGCCATGGGGGGAGGGCTGAGCGGTGTGCGGGTGTGCGCGCCTCAGTCAAACGTGCAGAAGCACAGGGGAAGCAGGTGCTGTGGGGTGGTGGCGCAGAGCCGGCAACGGCGGCTGCCACGTCTGGCGCAGCGAGGGGTGCCAACGCGCCCTGCGCCCACGTGCGCCTGCTTCTGCCTTTGACTGTGTGCCAGGGATCATAGATGTGGCCTCTCCTGCTCTTCCGTTTTGTTTGTTTGTTTGTTTGTTTCACTGATGCTGACATTAGCCAGGGTGGGTAAGCTTTCTCTGAGCATGTGCAGCACAGGTAAAGGGGAGACAACCCAGAAGCTTGCGAAGCTTCTGGGTGAACCCACCTTCGTTGTGGCTGCCCGGTCAGCATCCTGGAGCTTGGACAGCCGAGCCGGATGCATGGGCAAGAATATTCCAGACATGAGTGCGAACAGCTGGTGGAGTCTCCCGTTTCATCTGGCGTTGGTATTTTGGGAGAAATGAGACCAAGATGTTTTCTACAAAGCCTTGAATAAATGAAATCACACTAGCCAAGTGATCTTCAGCCTTCTCCTTCCGTTTTTGAAGTTTTTATGCTCGAGGTAGACTTGTGGCCCCCACAAACAGTGACAGAAGTGGTCTGAGATCATTTTACCCATCAGGCAGGGAGCACGTCCTGCCTGGCCACCATCCTCACAGCCTCCCTCCCTCGCACAAGGAGCATCTCCACAGCCTGCCTGCGGAGATGAGGCCTCTGAGTGTCCTGAAATGGGTGTGGGGTACTTGCTGACCAGTACCAGAGATGAGTGGAAGTGAGTGGAGCTGGAGACGCCAGCCCTGGGGGCGCCCATTTCGCTGCGCCTCCTGCCGGCAGAGCTCAGCTCTGGAGCGCTGGTCCCCTTCCAGCCAGGCACCTAGTGTGTGGGATCAGGCAGGTGGGGTAGGGTCCCTTCTTCCTCATCCCCGACAGTCCCCTTTTTGTTCCAGAGGAATAAAAGTGGCTTCTTTCCCCCCCACCCTGTGCCTCTTTTCAGAGATGATTTGGACCAGGAGGAGAAAGCCAAGTTCGGAGAATATTGCAGCAGTGAGAATGGGAAGGGCCGGGAATGGTTTGCTCGCTACGTGAGTGCCCAGGTAAGACTGGACAGGGACAGGCCAGGTGTGTGGCCCACAGCTCTCTGCCATCTGCTGTGGACAGAAGGGCAGGGGAATGACCCAGCAGAAGCAACTTAGCCACAGTGTTCTGAAATGCCCAGCGGAGTAGTGGGAATAGCTGGTTTGACCCCCTCTGGAGAGGAGCAGGCATGTTGGACTCCATCCATGAGAAGTCCCAGGGACAGAGGCTTTCAAAGGCAAGGCCCAGGCTGCGTCCTTGCGCCTGTGAAATGGCCCATGATGTTCAGTTTTTTAAAGATAACACATTCGAGACGATGGAAGCCATCTCTGTTCTGAAAATGAGTTTTGTGAATATCCAGGGGGTTCTCTTTTCTCTCTAAAGTGCTTTATGTTCTTACTAGGTTCAGCATTTTGGTGACAAATCATTTGTGCCTCAAAGAAAAATCAGTGCACATTTGCACAGAGAGAAACAAAGGGCCCAAAGCCACCATCCAGGAACAGCTGGTGGGGCCGGGTGGGGTTTGACTCCCCATCCTTTTCTGTGCCAAGGGAGCATGTGCGTTAAAATGCCACCAGGGCGCAGGAATGTGTCCTCTGCCCTGGGCTGCTGCTGTGTGCTGGGCCTGGCCCGGCCCTGCGGGTGGCTCAGCCGGCCCAGCGGCCTTGCCTCCTGGGCGCCAGTGACGCACGCCTTCTTTCTGGACAGCGCTGCAATTCCAAGTGCGTCTCAGAGCCGACCTTCTACCGCCTGGTGCAGTCTTTCGCGGTGGTCCTGTTTGAGTAAGTGGCACGATACGGCCTTGTCTCCCACCCTGCTCCCCGGCCCGACCCCGGTTGTGCGTGAGTCAGAGCCCCGAGAGTCGGCAGCTGCATTTGCTGAGGCCCACCCTGAAGTGTTGACAGAGCCTCACGCGCCACGGGCAGGACCCGCAGGTCTGACCTGGCAGCAGGTTCAAGCCCAGTCCTGGGTGACAGTGACGTCTCAGGAGCGCTGGCGACAGACGGGGCCGTCCTCCCAGGGAGAGCTGGAGTTTTCTTGGTTTTCTGCTGTGAAGTTCATCCAGCGCAGTGGCCTCCCTGGGGTGGCCCCCAGGGGGCTGTAGCCGAGTCCTAATCATTCTCTGCCAAAAAAGCCTGTTGCCATGAAAGGTGTCCCCGGCCCCCAACCTCGGCGTGTCCTCCAGACCATCACCACCTTCCCTGTCCCTGTCCGTTTGTCCTTCCAGCCTGCATACCCCCCTCTATTTTCCTTCCCTGTCTGCTCAGAAATGGAGCTGCTCTCTAAAACCCTAATCTTCCCTGAGCCCCCAAGTCCCTTGTCTCTTCCCCTCTCTCTGTCCCCCTGAACAGGAGGCAGGCACGGGAGGAAAGCGGCCACTTGATTTTACCTGCACGTTTTTAGAAAGACCCAGCTTCAGCATGTGCTCCCGTGGGGGCTCTGGGCCCCCAGCTGTCTCTCCTTCTCCTGCTTCCCAGAGCCGGGAGGCGAGGAACCGGCTGAGGGGGCCCAGGTGTTCTGGTGTCAACCTGGCCGTGCATCCCCTGGCTTCAGACCACTTCAGCTTCCAGACCTGCGTCTGTGGGGCTCAGGAGCCATCTTCCTGTGGTGGGGCCTGTCCCACGGGCTGCCTTCCCCACCCGGAGCTTCGCTTGCCGTAGATGGTACCCTTGGGAGCAGCACAGTCAAGGTCCAGTCCTGTGGGAACACGGCATCGTCCTGTGACCTTGCCGCAGCCTCTGTGTCTGTGGGTGGTTGTGACAGAAATAAGCAATAGCTTTTAATACTTGGAAAATATTTTTTAAACTTAGGAATTTTATTGGTTCATACATTAGATTTTTTTTTATTGAAAGATAAACAAAAAATGGCCTTTATTTCACTGTCAGGACCATTCCCAAAGACTTTTTTTTTTCTTTTTCAGTAAAATATGTCCAAGGTTAAGAACTTAACAGCAAAGAATAGAATAAAAGGGAACCAGTAGAAAGAAGTCTGGAAGGAAGGGAAGACTGGTCCACACAGCCTGTTCTCACCTTGGTCCTCGCCCATTTTCACCTCTACCCATCAGGCCTGTGCCAGCCAATTTCTTTTCCACAAAAAGCCATCAATTTCCAGAAAGGCTGCATCTATAGAGGCTGTGTGGACTCTAATGCTGACGTGCCTTCCTGCTGCCTGCTTCTAGCAGCTGAAGGGCTTGTTGATGTTCCCCACCCCCGTCTTGCCCGGTGGAGTGAGTGTAAAGTTTAGTACCCTTTACACTTTAGAGCGTTTTCAGCATTTAAAAGTGTCCTGTCTGCCATGATTTCACTTGATTTCCAGGCAGGGGTAAGTAGGCATCCTACTCCCAGCAGCTCTGTTAGTGCCAGCCCTGGGCCAGGAGCTGCTGGTGTCACAGGGTGCTAGGCATGGAGCCCTCAGGCCCTCCGGACCCACTGCCCCAGAGATGACCCAGCCACCCACATGGTCACTTGCCCTCTAGGTGGTCGTGATGCAGCCCAGAGCTGGACGCAGATGGCTCTGTCAGTTCCCAGAAGCAGAGGTCGGGCGGCCTGACACCGGGGCTTCTGGTGTTGGCCTAAGACCTGACTGGGTTGACACTTGCCCATCCTGCCACCGAGCTGCCTGGGCTGTGGCTGCTGCTCCTCCGGGGTGAAGGGCGGGGGCTCCCCGGAGGCCTCGTCATCAAGTCTCAGTGCTGTCACCGCTGCCGCCTGAGATGGATCCCGGCCCGGAGCTGACCCACATGGTGCAGCAGACCTCTCCTGCCTCATCTGCTGCTCCCCTCAGCCAGCATTTCAGCAGATCTGCCCGTTCTGGAAAATCCTTTCACCTCCACACCTCTGGAGTTCACCCCATGAAAGACACCCTGACTGGCATGAACTCCTTCCTGCCCCGGCCATGTGCCTGATGGGAAACACCTAATGGGGCCTGGGGTGTGGCTCACTCTCGCGGCTTCTCCTGTGCGGCATCTTCGAGGGTCGGTTGAAGCCCGTTGGCAGTGTCCCCACCTGCCTCCTGGGCGGCACCGGGCTCCCCAGCCAGGCACACTTGCCTCTCTTACAGGTGCCATCAGATGGATGACTTCGGGCCCGCCAAGAACCTCATGACCATGTGCTTCACGTACTACTACATCGGTAAGGCCTGGCACACGTAGGCCTGGGAGCCCCTGGGGATGTCTTCACTTTGGAGGGCAAAGCTGTGAGGCTTCCAGGAAATAAAAGAAGCTGATGGCGGGGGGTGGAGGGGGCGGTGAGAGGGAGTGAGTCCTACGGCAGAGGAGACACAGCTGCCTGGTGACTCAAGAGGTGACTTGGTGAGTGAGTTTCTCTTTGCCATCTGGCAAACACTGTGGTGTTAGGAAATGAGGAAAGAAGACCGTAGCCAGGACATCTTGTGGTAGACGCAGGATTGTGGAATGTGAGGACCTCGGTTTTGTGTGTTAATAAGATAGATGTGAGAATAAGCCAGAAAGAAAAGGAAAAATCCCAGGCGGTTTCACTCATGGCAGGAGTATAAAGGACTGGGGGGGGGAATAATAATAATAATAATAATAAACAACTATATACTGGAGACTTTTTACAGGGGTGGAGTGGGGAATGGGATCAAAAACAGCGGAGGGAGGGAAATGCCCTGTACTATGGTGATGGCACAGGGTGATTTGGTGATGGGAAGCCCACAGGGATTATAAAATAGGACGTGGGTCAGCCGCTGGTTGAGGTGGGAGGGCATCAGTAGGTGGACAGTGTCCCCACGTCAGGCTGGAGACTCCTTTCTGAAGCAAGAGAGGCGTCCTATACTTGCTGCTTCTCTGGGTCACTGCACTGGAACTTTCTGGAGCCATGCAGGAGACTTGAGGGCACTTGAGGAGACTCAGCTGTGCTCCTTTCTCCCCCGCTCTCCAGGGAAGCCCCACCTGCTCCCCACGGAGTCCAAGGAGAAGCCCGCAGGGAGCATTGACTCCTACCTGAAGTCCGCCAACAGCTGGTTAGCCGAGAAGAAGGACATCGCGGAGCGGCTGCTGAAGAACACCAAGACGGAGAATGTCAAGGGTTTCTTTGGCGGGCTGGAGACCAAGCTGAAGGGACCCCTGGTCAAGAAGAATGAGTGAGTCTCTCTGCCCGGGGAGGGGCCTTCACACAACTGGGACTGGGACGGCCGCTAGCGGGGCTGGGCGGGCCCTGCCTGGTGATGGCGGCCCCGTCCTCCCCTCTGGATTTGGGGCCCCGAGAGTGGCTCCTGGGAGCACAGCCGCCAGCTCAGCGAGTGGGCCGTGGCTCCCAGATGTGTGCGTGTACCCACGCACAGGGCGGTCCCTGTGGGTCGGTGCTTCTAGGACTGAGGAGGAGCAGATGGCAGTCATCAGTTGGCAGGAGGATGTGACAGCCCCTCCCTCCCCTGGCTGGGGGGAGAGTTAGTGTTGATGGTGCCTGGGACTGAGGTGCTCTGATGGAAGCTCCGGGTGTGGGTGTCCTAGAAGCGACGACTTACACACAGCAGCAAGAGCGTGCCTGGCCCCCCCAGCGCCTATGTGGGCCCCCATTAACTGTGCGGCACCCCCAGCACCTGTAGGGGGCCCCCAGCACCTATGCTGACCCCTAGCACCTGTACAGGGTCCCCAGTGCCTGTGCGGGCCCCTAGTTCCTGTAAGTACCCCCCCAGCGCCTGTTCGGCATCCCCCAGTGCCTGTGTGGGCTCCCCAGTGCCTGTGCGGGCCCCCAGAGCCTGTGTGGCTCCCAGCACCTGTGCAGGGCCCCCTAGTGCCTGTATGCACCCCCCGGTGCCTAGGTCCCCCAGCGCCTATGTGGCTCCCAGTGTGTGTGGGGGCCCCCAGCACCTGTGTGGGACCCCAAGTGCATGTGTGGGGCCCCAGCACCTGTGCACCCCCCATTGTGCACCCACTGTTCCCTTCGATGGCTGGTGTCAGCCTGGCTGCTTCCTTCTTCTCATCCGGTCGGTTTGGGATTCAAAGACAAGGGCACAAAGAGGCCTAAATGCCACATCACCTCAGTCTACAACCTGCAAGTGACAGAGTGGAGGCAACATAATAAACTAGACGGCCATGTGCGGCGCACGGGTGCCCAGATGGCCCGTTGCAGCGACGTGGGCGGGCGCCTGTCTGCGGGAGCGTGTTGGGCGGGGCCTTTGGTCACTGCTGTGGTTTCTCTCCCCCAAGGGACGAGGAGAACAAGCCAAAGGAGAGGCCGCAGAGGACAGGTGAGCCTCTCCAGTGCTCCAGCGGGCGCCAGGCGTGCTTCCACAGTGCCCCTCGGTCCTTGTCACCCCGCCCACTGTTCACTAGCAGCACCCACAAGCAGCTCCCCTAGTGCCAGGTGTGCCACTGCCATCCCCGCGCCAGGGCAGCAGTTCCTCCAGGTTCCTCTGCCTCTGCGAAGGAAGCTGCTGGGGATGTGGCCCTGGGGTGGGCACCCAGAGCTGCCCTGACCTTCCCCCTCCCGCAGTGACCGTGAGCAGCCCAGGCGAGGACAGGAAGGGGGAGAAGATCTACCTGTACACGCACCTGAAGCAGCAGCCCATCTGGTAAGCCCCCGCACGTGTGGGCAGACGAGGGGCCGGCAGCGTCTCTGCAGGAAGGAAGGTCACGTGGTCCTCGGGGAGCCCCCCTGGGGAGAGGGCACAGGAGGAGCTGGCGGGCTGCCAAGAATCTGGCCTCGGGCATGGTGGCGGCCCGCAGCGGCCTGTGTGATGCCAGTGGTGCCCGGCGGGCTGCCCAGGCTGGGCCGTCACACTGCGAGCCCAGCAGCAGCCACCTTGCCTGACCACACAATTGTCAGAATGTGCCCGTTAGTGGCAGAGACGGGTGACTATCTGCCCCCATCAGCGCCCCCTAAAGGAACGAGGCACTGATCACACACGACGTGGGTGAACTATGACCCTCGCTGGGGAGACGCCACACATGTGACCCCGCTCAGAGGATGTGCCCAGAGCAGGCCAAGCCCTGCAGGCAGAGCAGGGTGCCCATGTCAGGGTCGAAGGAGACGGGGTGGGGAGGGGGCTTCCCCGGGGCGTCACGGGGGTGCTCCGGAGATCGTGACGAAGTCTGCACAAGTCTGCGGATAGACTCGAAGCCACTGAGTGGTACATTTCACACGGGTGAACTTCACAGGACTTAAGTCATCAGCTGTGGTCGGTGAAGGCCGAGTGTCAGGAGCGAGAGCAGAGCCAGGGGCGTGGCGTCCGTCCTGCCCCGGGGTGACCGACAGTGCTGCCTTAGTCCCTCCCGAGCCTCTGGCGCCCCGTCGGCCATCCACCCCGCCCGGCCTCCCTCAAAGATGGCAGCGCAGCCTGGGAGTTCACTGCCCACGTGGGGCACGTGGCAGGAGGGGTGGGCCCGGAGGAGCTGCGTAGAGGGGAGGCCGTGCAGCCGCCTGGCGTCCGCCTGCTGGTGCCGCTTGGCCCTCTGGCCTTGACTGGCGGCAGGGCCCAGACAACGTTCCTCAGAGGACCAGTGAGCATGTTTTAAGCTTCACAGACCATCGCCCATCCCTGCTGTGGCAGAGTAAAAGCCACCAGTGACAGAGGGCAGGGCCACTGCCTCTGCAATGCCACTCGACAGCAGGCGCAGGCCGGGCCGGGCCCAAGGGCCGTCACTGCCCACCCTGACCTTCAAGAGGGATGTTTCCCTACAAGTGTGTCCTCTCTGCGCATGGCCAGCCCCTCCTGGGTTTCCATTTATGCAGGTAGACAGTTCTAGAAGAGCCCTCCCAGAGCCTGTCGGTGGGGACGGCGCAGACACCCCCATCCGCACCCTGCTGTGCCCGCTGGTCTCTGGGCCTGCGCCCTGGTAGGCTCTGCACCTCCGCCTCCCTGCTAGGAGGGAAGCAGATGCCATCACTGTGCGTGGCAGGGAGCCCCCTGGATCTAGATAAAGGCGTGAGGCCCGGGTCTCTCCCCAGCTCTGCCTCCCAGGCTTCTCAGCTCGGCCAGAAGTGGCGGGGTGCCGTGCCCCCCTGCACCTCCCCACGTCTCTGTCTTGCAGGCACACGCTCAGGTTCTGGAACGCAGCCTTCTTTGATGCCGTGCACTGTGAGAGGAGGAAGCGGTCGCCCACCACCAGGTAGGAGCCGCGCCCGGCCGGCCTGCCGGGCGAGCACCGGGGAGGGCTTAGTCTCCTGTGTTTGAAGAGGATGCAGAGGGCGCCGAGACCCTGCTTCTGCGTTTCTTTGTCGGCCCCTGGCCCTGCCCCGTGCCCTGCAAGCTGCCTGAAGGGCCCGCACATGCGGCGGGGGCGGCGGGCGGGTGCAGCCTGCATGCGCGCTTCTCCACTGGGCTCTGGCATGCCTTGGCCTGACCCTCCTCCAAACGCTCACAGCCCCTGGCTGAGGCCTTCGGACCGGCACCACCTGCCTGTTGCCTTAGGAAGTCGGAAGGGAGCACGGATTCCTGGGGTGGGGCTGCCACGTCCCCAGACTTCGTTCTCCCAGCTAACATTCTGGGGACATACAGTGGCTGCTTCCAGCCTCCCCTCCCACCTGCAGCCTGGATGACCCTCTGGCTCCCCGAGTGTGGTCTTGCACTTTAGGGAACCCCTTTTCTAAACCGCGTCCCAGAGCCAGCGCAGCCAGCAGGGCAGGGGCGTGGTCAGCAGGAAGGGACTCAGGTGGCCCCCGCCACAGCGAGCAGAGGGGCAGCCTCCGCACGGGACCGGGCAGTCGAGGGCAGCAGCTCTCCCTGGCCCGGGCCTCCTGTTGCTCCCACCCATCGTGAGGCTCGGAGGCCCTGCCTCCGGTCCCCCTCCCCTAATGTTGGGGACTTCCCCTGGCAGGAGAGAGGGCAGGTGCCTGCTGTCTGAGCAAGACTTTCCGACCCCTGGGAGAGACTCCCGGAGGGCAGCTCCCGTCCAGAGGCCCCTTGGCCCGTGGCAGCCTGCCGGGGGGCATGAGCGGACGCCACCACCTCCTGCCCGGGACCCTAGAGGATCCTTAAGTCCCTGGAGCAGGTCCGGGCAGAGCTTACCTGCGGTCGGCGGGCGGGTCTCCTGTCTCCTTGCAGCCCCCAGGAAACGTGACCGGGGCACCCCCGTCCCCCGTCTCTGTCGCTCCGCTCCTGCCTGCGATAACTGCTCTCTCGCTTGTTCTCTTTTCCATCCACATCTTGCATGACTTTGACATGTTCCTCTGTTTACCTGTTTCTGCTGCCGCTCCAGAGGGGATGCTGGAGAGGAGGAGAAGAAGAGGTGTGTGTCATGACTGTCGTGTTACAGCAGCAGGGTCCCGCTGGGGCCTCTCGGGGCGGGGGGCCATGCTCTCCGCTGCTGGCGGGCCCAGAGCCCAGGCCGGTGGTGAGGGCATCCCCAGGGGGCAGGCCAGGCTGGTGATGGTGGGGTGCCCCTGAAGTAGTCAGGATGCCATGTAGCCTCTGAAGGCTTCCCGGGAGGCCTAGTGTGTGTTCCGGGAGGAGAGTGCAGTGGCGGCCAGAAGGCTGGCCAGATTCCAGCCTGGCCAGATTCCGGGGGCGGGAGGTGCCTTTGGGCTCAGGCCCCTCAGCAAATACATCCTGCGGCCTGCAGAGGCCCTGTCTCTGCAGCCTCACGGGCTCGGAGGTGTGAGGGCCGCAGCCCCTCACCCTCCACTCCAGGGGGGTGGCACCGGGTGGGGCCAGCTGTCGCTCTGCGGTGTGGAGACTGTGAGGGCCCAGGACAGGCCCTTTCCTGTGACTCCACGGTGGGGTCTGTCTCCTCTTGTGGAGCTCCGTGTTTGTCAGGTCGCTTGTGATTTACTTTTAGAGCTAAAGGCCCACCTAGCCAAAATGTCATTTCTGGTCCAGTATCTTTTTCCCCAGTGGAGATTTCACAAAGCATGATTCCTTTCGTTAATGATGGAGCCTTACTGCTGGTGGTGTTGTGAGAAATCTTGTTTCTCTTGTAACCTTGTTCTGGCTTTAAAAGGAGCATTTGGCCATGTGGAGAAGAAAGCCCAGAGCCCCTCGTCTGTCTGGGCTTCCTAGCCTAAGGCCCTGGGGCCTCATGGCTCTGCCCGGGGTGCTGAGCCCAGTGGGGACGTCTGGCCTGGAGGCCTACTCCCCAGAGGGGCTGTGGCCTCACATCTCAGACCCGCCCCTTGGGGACACCCACAGGTCCCAGGGCTCACCAGGCTTCATCTCATTGCTTGAGATCTGGGAGGTGGGCGGTGGGCATCAGGCCTGGGCGGCCTCCTGCCGCCAGACATTGTTTCTGTTTTTGGATGTCTTTGCCGACTGCCATCCGTGTCCTCTTGGCTCTCAGCGCTCTCGCTGCGAGCTGTTGGTCACATCCAGAGACTTCAGACAGTTGACACCACCCTTCCCCTCGGCCCTGATGGGTCCTAGGGGGTGAAGTGAGCCCTAAGGAACCGATTAGCCTGTCGGCGTCGCCAGAGCTGCCCAGTGCCCGTCACTGCCCCCCCCGCCCCTCTTTCGTCAGAATTTGGCTAAAGCACCCAATTCTGGTCCCGCCCAAACCACAAAGAATCACCCCATCTGGGTTGGGGGGATGCGGTGTGGGCTGCTGCATACTCCCGAGGGGGCTGCTCCCCTGTGTCCAGGGCTGTACAGCCCAGCCTGCACAGCTGTGCCTGGTGGGGACTTGTGTGCCTGGACAGTGCGGACAGAGGCCACTGGGGAAAGGGGAGGGGGAGGGAGGGAGTGGAGCACTGCAGGCCGGCCCTGGACGGGAGGGGCTGGCCTCCCTCGAAGTCCAGGCCCTGTGGCCTCCCGCTGAGCTGCAACAGAGTAATGGCCTAGGTTGGAGGGTGGTGGGAGTCAGAGCTGGCATTCTCGGGTTCTGTTCCTCTTTCTGTGAGCCCCACACCCCATCCCACCCCACTTCTCTCTTCTCTGTCGTCTTCCTCTTCAACTTGTTTTGGTCAGACTCGTCCATGTAGATGTTGACCTTTAGGGGCCTGGACTCAACCGCTGGCGCACTTCTCAACAGACACCGTGCATTTGCACACCGGGGGGTGGGCGCTGGATGGCCCCTTGGCCCAGGAGGGGGGGGGTGCTCTGGCCCGGGGCGGGGGGCGACCTACGTGCAGCAGAGAGACTTTCAAGCAGGGACATGGACTCAGCACCCTCAGGGCCTTCCCACCTCAAAGCCTGCTCTTCAGACTCACCACTAAGCACACGCCATTGTCCTTAGAGCCTTAGGTCAGAGGCCATGTGACTCCCTCTTGGGGTGCCCCGTGCTTTGTGTGGGACACGGCGCCAAAGGGACCATAAGGACACTGTGGGCCTCAGCGAAGGCCTGGGCCTCGTCACGTGCCCAGAGAGCACAGCTCCAAGCGGGCCCAGGCCCACCTGCCGGACCCCCGCCAGCCTGCTGGACCCCCGCCAGCCTCTGGTCACTGTCACAGCTACTGGCCCCGTGCCAGCGTCTCGTGGGCTTCTCAGCAGTGAGCGCCTCCTGGCCGGGCCTGGGCGCCCACTTGCCCCAGCACAGGCCCTACGCTCCGTGGGCCTCCCCACCATGTGGTGGGGCTGAGATCGCCACTCTGGAACCCCGTTCGTGATGAGGAGCTGGCCTCGACTCCTAGAGAATGTTCTGGGCAGCGCTGAGGGCTCCGTCTCCGAGTCCGTAGGAAGCCTGTTGCTCTTAGGTTCTTCATCATAGGGATAGGAAAGAGATGTTTGCGTGGGGCCCACTGGGGAGGGTCAGAGCCCGGCAGAATGACCACTCTGTGGTGACTGCCCCCGCCATGTGGGAGGCGGCGCTGGGCTGCCCGCCACCGCGGAGCTCAGAGCAGGGGGCGCGTGCCATGTGGAGGCTCTCGGGAACCCTCCATCACCTCTGTGCCTGCAGGGAGAAGTGGTGCCACATGAGCCAAGAGGAGCGTGATGACAGCCTGCGGTTCCATGAGAACATCACCTTCGGGCAGCTGGGGTGAGTGCCCTACACAGGTGGGGAGGGCGGGCAGGGGCAGGGCTGCAGGGGCCAGGACAGGCTCTGAGCTGGGCCAGGAGGGTCGGGATGAGGGAGGGGAAGTGTACTGGACAGTAGGGGGATGGTCCAGGTGGGAGGATTGGCCTAGACCTAGCCCATTCCTCTCCCAAGCCAATGGTGCTGGCCCCTGACCAGGTCACTCACTGGTGAGGTATCGGGGCAGAGGAAGGCACCCAGAGGAGGGGCTGCAGGTCGAGGCACTCCCCACCCCGAGGCTCTTGAGGAGGACCCCACCCTCACGGTGCCAGTGTCAGCAAGCCACACGTGCTTACAGCGCCCGGCCGTGTGCGCTTGGCTGCTGTGGGCCTGGGCTCCTGTTCGTACGAGCCCTCCGTCCCCACCCCGCGGCAGGAGCCTCCCCCGAGTGGGCGGCTGGCCATGGAGGGCTGTGGGTGGGCTGCCGGGAGGAGGGGGCCGGCAGCCGGAGGGAGATTCGAGGGTCGTGTGTTCCCCACAGAACGTTCACGCACAACATGCTGGCCTTCGGGCTGAGCAGGAAGCTGTGCAGCGACTTCCTGAAGAAGCAGGCTGTGATCGGGAGTCTAGACGAAGGTGAGTCCCGGAGAGGCGGGCAGGTGGGCGGGAGCGGGCGCCTGCGCGTCTTGCTCCTTCCTTCACCCCATTCGGAGGCTGGTCCCGCTCCTTACGGACGCGAGGCTGGGCTGTCTGGGTGAGGTTGTGCGGCCTGCCTCAGGCCCTGCCCCCTTCTCGGGACCCGAGAAATCCACTTCTGCCCGGTGGGGGCTTGGTGGCTCAGCGCTGGCTGTCAGGGCCAAAGCTGCAGACAGGACTTAGCCTCAGACTCAGGACCTGGCACGTGTGGCCCCTTGATAGCCCGAACCCCACTGCCAGGAAGGTACAGCGTGGCAGCAGAGGCGGCGTGGGGATGGCATCTTGAGGTCTTTCTGTCGTCTCAGGAGGCTGCCATCCGCCTCCTGGTGTGCTGGGGCCATACCCACTGTGTTACCCCACAAAACAGGCCCTCCTCATAGCCCAGAAACCCTTCCGCCAGCGCCACCGTGCCAACCAAGGGCAGGGACACTGCTTCCAGGGTCTATAGGCCGCCCCCAGTGACCCCTTCCCCATGCCGGCACCCCCCCAGCCCCCGCCCAGCTAGCTGTGTGAGGTGCTGATGAGCCCTCACCTGAAGCCAGAGCAGGGTCTTCCTGCCCATGTCCAAGCAACGTTGTTTTCCCTTCCAGAGCAATACAAGCTGCTGAGTGACCACATCGAGCAGATGGCCACCGAGTAGACCACGGTGGTCCCCGCGGCACCCCGGGAGGGCCAGCGACTGGCTGTCACCTCACCTGATGACCCCGCATGACCTCGGCAGCACCCAGAGCCACTCCGCGCTGCCCTAGAACTAGCAGTTAGAGAGTCTGGCTGCCCTTCCTCCCCTCTGCCTGTGTCTGCTCCCCCCACGCCAAAGGGTCCCTGGGATTACGTGGCTAAAACTGAGGTGACTGTCCATACCCCCGAGTGTCAGCCTGTGACGTGGGACTGAGGACGGAGGAGGCCAGTGCCAGGTGGACACACCGCGTTTAGCAGGCCTCCTGCTGGAGAGCCTGTGGGAGCGCGGGGCGTCAAGGCAGCTGCGGCGGGAGGGCCAGGCCCCCCCACCACGTGCACAATGTTTGTGCGCCTCTGAGCAGGCCCTGAGGGGGCAGCACTGGGCCGGCCTGGAGTTGTTCTGGCTTTCTGGCCCCTCTCCATGGAGTCCCAGGACCCTCAAGGAGGGAGACGCTTGGAGGAGGGCGGGAGCCCTGTGCAGAGAACGGACGTTCCTGGCCAGGGAAGGCCTGTCGGGCAGGCGTGTGAGCCCAGTGGCTTTGTGAGAAGCACCCCAGTGTGGCTAGGGCGCTGTGGCCACCCTCCCGGTGGACTGGGGCAGCCTTCCTCTGAGAACCTCGTACCAGCTGTCCTGGAGGAAGGCCCGGAGAGATGTGTTTCTTCAGTTGCTGCAAGGCCACTGCCCTGTCCGAGTGCCACTGTCCACTGCACACAGGACAGACACATCTGTGCAAGTGTCCGGGCAGCTGGCAGAGGCTGGTGGCAGGGTTGGAGCAGCCTCTGGGGTCTGCTCCTAGGGCGCTGGGCCCTGCAGTGTGGCAGGAAGTGTGGGTGCGCTTCCTGGTTTCCTTCAGACTTTGCGGAACCCCCACATCCGGGAGCCCCGCTTTTCTCCCTGGGCCTGTCCCAAGGGTCCCAGCCACCGCTTCCAGCATGCACCCCAGAGCCCGTGAACGCTTGCCTCCAGCCCAGACCCTCTGCTCCCACCACTGCTCGCGCACTGGCCTGGGGTTTTTCCTGGCCCCCCGTCTCTCCTCTACCTCTCCAACTCCCACACCCGTGAGCACACGCAGACATGCCTGACGGCACTTACCCAGCCAGGAGTCCTCATGCAGTGCCCCAGAGGCAGCGCTGAGCCGCAGAGAGGAGACGAGAGGGGTGCACTGAGTGCTGGGTGCGAAATGTTGTCCTCAAAGAAATGGGGAGCGGCTGCCCACACCAGCCTGTCTCTGGGGGCAGGGGGTGGGGCGGCGGTGTGTTTTCCTAAACACAGCCCGCACACTGCTGAGGCCGGGCGGGGCACACTGCATGGCCCCCACTGCCTCCCAGGCAGACATCTCGTCTCATGCCTCCAGGAACACATCCTCCTCCACCCTGAACCCAGCCCTGGATGGCGCTTTGTGCTTCTCCCTGCTGTGCAGCCTCAGGGGCTCTGCTTTTAGCTCTCATCAGCAGAGGCTTCACTAGTCTTCTGGAAGTAGCTGGAATGTTTCAAGACTTCAGGGTGCCAGAAGACTCATCCCTGTGCATCCGAGGACTTTGTGTAGGAATTCTGACGCGTCCTTTCCTGAGGAAGAGGAGAGAATTCTGCCTCTTTCCAGGGAGCTGGGCAGCAGGCAGCACTGTCCCCGCAGTGGGACGGGGCAGGACAGCTGGGAGCAGCTCTGACTTTGGACGTTGCCAAGCACTTTATTTTCAGAAATGACCTTGAGACTTTCTTCGACATGGGCCCCTAGAAATAGCAGTGGGAGGTGGAGACAGGGTGCCTTGGGTTTTTCCCTTCTGCCATAGACCTCATTCCTGAAAGCTGGGGTGAGCCTGACCCCAGAGGTGCCGCCGGGTGCGCGGCCCGGAGCCTGCTGTCTCCCGTTGGCTGCTGCGGGCCAAGCATCTCACTGTAGAGGATGCCGGCGGGTGTCCCCGGAAGGCCGGCAGCCCGACGAGCCCACTGTGCTGTCAGCCGGGTTGTTCCTTGGAACTGCCTGTGGATGAAGTGGTAGAAAAGCAGCGCAGACAATAGCCTTTTCCATGACCATCCATCAAAAGGAAGCCCCCGAAGTAACTGAAATCCCTCTTCTCCCGTATTTGCCACACTCCCCCCATTAAAGAAGTAACCAAATAGTTCCTGACTTACCACGTTTCTTGTTGATGATTTATTCAAAAAAGTCGCCCTTGTGAGGAGAAACAGGACTTCCACGGTTACGATGTACATCTGAAGGCAGGAAACCCTGGTCAGACCCCTGTTTTCAGAACAGTGACGCTGCTTCTTCACGAGCTTTTTGCAAACATTCTCAGCCAGTGAGATATTTTGTTGTCTTATCATGGAAACAAATACACTTTAAAGAGAATTTACTAGAATGATGTCCTTGGGGGAGGGTTAGGTGAGGGGTTAGGTGCTGGCCTGACCCGCCCCCCTCCAACCTGCCTCAGAAAAAGGAATCTCATAGTCTTCTCTGGCCTGGTACCCCATTTGGGGGAGAGCTAATTGGAATCATGAAAGAATAAGCCAGGTAAGCTCCGTCATCCTGGAATCATCCTTAAGGGAAAGTTTACTTTTCCTGTTTACAGTTTCACTACTTACCTACTTTTACCTAAAATACAAAGGTCAAGTGCTTGAGCAGTTTACTTAAAGGGGGAGGTGAGTGGGGGGGATGAGTCAGGATGTCCCTTTCAATGACCAGAAACCAGGTTCTAGCCTAGATAAGTGCAAAGACCAAGGTCCCTGCTTTTAAAAAGGGACCCCGCTAAGATTGTAGAGTCCTGTAAAACACCAGAAAGGAAATAACTTCATTGTGGAGATTAATATTTGGTAAGAATGTTCAGTAAGAACAAGCAGGGTGAAGGAAAATTAATCCTCGAGTCTTTTTTTTTTTAACATTTATTTGTACATACAGAACTGGGGTACAGGCCAGAGGTTCAGGGGTGGCGAGAGGCTTCACCAGAGACAGAGTGGGGAGCAGAACAGGCAGATCGACGAAGTACACTGCTGAGGGGAGCAGCGGGCGGGTCAGGAGAGGTCTCCCATGCCATGTGGTCACCTCTGGGGCAGGCGGGAATGGAACTCATGCTGAAGTGGCTTTAGCTTCTCAGTGCAGTGCTTTAACCCGCTGCGCCACAAAGGAGGGCGAATCCTCGAGTCTTTTAAGAGTCTAATCTTTATCTCTCAGATGTAAGCCAGAAAAATCAGACACTTAGATTTTTTATCTAATTAGCTAAGGTAAATTGCTGAGGACCAAGCAAATATTTAAATTCAAAACACTAAGACATTCAGAAGTTTCCACATTACTCATTTAATGTATGAAAAGCTGAACAAAGAAACACTGGTGCTTTATAAAAAAAAAGGAAACATGACATTTGAAACATATCACATAATATATAAATATACAGAATAACCCCCAGTTATTTGCCTGGACCTTCTCAAAGTATATTTTGCAAGTTGATGTATTGTATCCACACAGTAGATAAAGGTGAATCTTCTGTTAGGAAATTCTCTTAGGTAAACCAGAAAACTGCAGGTGTGTTTTTCACTGGAGTTGGGGAGGCTGCCTTGGGAGAAACTTGACCAAGGAGAAGTGAGTGTTAGAAAAGGTACGTGTCCTGTCACAAAACAAAGTGACACCCGTGAAGAGATGACTTGGTCATTGGAAAACAGGTTTATAAAGAAATAACTGCAAATGATTTTTATGGTCAATTATTTGCTAGGACCTGAACATTGAAAATTAAAACTAAACGTTTTTATCTGAGCGCACTGCTTGAGCTGGAAATGAGCACCTGGTGACCATCTATTTTTCATTATCTCCCAGTAAGGTTTCTGTTGCTGGAGGACATAAAAATAACGAGTACTGCAAGACCCATCTCCCAAGACCCAGCACACTGACGTGTCTCAGTGTCAAGACCTTCTCGACTTTCCTGGGGACCCAACCTGGGTCACTAAAGATTTTTTTTTGAAGATATATTTATGCATACAGAATTGGGGTACAGGCCAGAGGTTCAAGGGGATGGGGTGTGAGAGGATTCACCAGACACAAAGTGGGGAGCAGAACAGACAGGTGGACTGAAAGACACAGCTGAGGGGAGCAGCGGGGGAGTCAGGAGAAGTCTGCTGTGCCATGTGGACCAGCTCCCTGGCTGGGGATAGAACTCGGGCAGCAGAGTTGCTGGCGCTGAGACCCAGCCCCTACGCCACCAGGGAAGCCCTCCACTGCCTAAATTTTGAGACTTCATGATTGTGAAGTCAATTCAGAAGACACGATCAGCAGCTTGATATTTCTGTCCTTGAAACATAGTGACTTCTTTCCCTTGCTTTGAAGCCCTGTAAGGCACCTTTTCACAAACCTGGCTTTCTGCAGTTGCCTTGGCTCGTTCAGGTTCAGGCGAGAACATGTCTGCCTCGTGCAAGCCTCGCTTTCCAGATGCGGGAACCCCTTCTTTACATGTGCTATGAGCAGTGGGCCCCTAGAGTTTGAAGCTCTCCAGAGTGCCCATGAGGAGAAAGGAAAGGAATCCTGCAGGCTGTGAGTCCTCTGCAGACTCCCTTACTGCCCAGTATGAGACAGACTGCTGAGGGGAGCGGTGGGGAACACAGGAGAGGCCTGCTGTGCCATGAGGGTCACCTCTCTGGCCGGGGATGGAACTCAGGCAGCAGAGTTGCTGGCGCTGAGACCCAACCCCTACGCCATCAGGGAAGCCCTCCACTGTCTAAACACATAGGGTACAGGGGAGATCTCAAGATGCTAAGTAGTCAGGAGAAGACTGGGAGGTCACGCGAGTTGTCCAGGCTTGTGTTTGCTGTTAACCTCCAAAGCTTTCTGATGCAAAGCCCGGGGCCGCTGGCGGCCTTTCGGCTGGAGACATGGTCCCTGCTGGGCTGATGCCCCGAGCTGCTCCTGGACCCTGGTCCTTCCGAGGTGTCAGTGTGAAAAAGGCAAATCGTCCACTGGAGGGAGCAGTCTGCCATCTCCGAAGTCATTCACCAGGATGCACACACCCCGCAGAAACACATCCAGTTGAGCCAGTCACAGGCCAGAGACGGCAAGAAGGAACATGTGTCTGCTGTATCTGCGCCCACTGCTCGAAACCATTTACAGATTTAAAACACCCTTTGAACTCTGTTTATCGCAACGCTGCGTGAGAAATGTGGAATCCGGTAGCTGGGGAGAAAGGAGCCCCCGCCCATCCTGGGAAGGTCTTAGTCCTCCGCGCTTGAATAAGACACAGCCTGCAGTGCAGTCACCTGCCACAAGGGGGCGCTGTGTTCTGGTCGTGCTCCACCGACTCCACAGCACCGGGACAAGGATCTAAAACACTGTGAGCCTTTTCCAGAGGGGCTGCAGGCTGCAGCCTCCCAGCAGCAGAGACTCGCGGCCATGTGCTCCCTAAGCCGCAGTGCTCACGTCCAGCAGGGTCTGGTGCACAGTCCAGGAAGTTGCCTAGTGCAAGTCCCAGGGAGCACACGCACCAGCCAGGTGGTGGGGCAGACCCTGAAGCCTCTGGAGCGCGGGAGACTGAGTCTGCCTTCTCTGAAGCAAGCCAAAGGGAAATCTACTTCAGATCAGCCCCAGCCCTTGAAACTTGGCGGTGTCTGTACAGACAAAGTAAGTCCTCAGCTCGCCTTTGCCTTTGACATTAATCAGTCCTCGACACTCACAGGAATAACCGAGCTCCTGGAGGATGCTGCACGTCTCTTCCGTGACCTGAAAGGGAAAAGGAGCCTGCGCCTTTGGAAGCGGGAAGAAAGCGTGTCGTGCAAGGGACAGGCCGGCGTCACCCAAGGAGCAGCAGACACACCGGTGCCAAAGCCACACAGCCAGCGATGGCGGTGAGCCCGCGCCCCAGCCCAGGGCCCCTCGCCTCTAGAAGTTCTTCCCCCTTGGGGAGCTTCCCCAGGTGGCTTTTACCTGGATTTTCCCCATTTCTCCAGTGCTCTCCATCCGGCTGGCCACGTTGACCGTGTTCCCCCAGATGTCATACTGAGGCTTCCGCGCCCCGATCACTCCAGCAATCACAGGCCCGTGGTTGATGCCTGGCGGAGGGAGGCGCGGCCTCAGGCGCTGCCCGGATGCCACCACCCACCCTCGGAAGCACGGACAAAGCCAACCAGAAGGCTGGACCTGCGGCAGCAGAGCAGCGCGGGAAGACCATCCTGTGTTTTCAGACTCGGCCAGCTGGAGCTGGCATGACATCTTCAGAGTCTGCCGAACTCAAGGACTCTGAGCACAGTCCTGGAGGCTGCAGGGGCTGGATATTGACTACTTTGTTTTTTGGTGTATTTTTACAGTCACCTGTGTACAGCTGGTGACTTCAGGAGGGGAGGGTGCTCTGCTTTCTGTAGTGACACCTTTCTATTTAGTTAAAACTATCAAAGCTGGCTCTATAAATGGTATGCAAAGAAGGCATAAGTCCCTGGCACCAGGGTGGTAAGATGGGCGAGGGATGTCTAAAGCGTCATAATAAATGGCCGAGTACCCTGGCTGGGAGTGCACTTGCCTGGAGGCAGGGGCTGCCCAGGGCCCCCACGGCAGCCCGGCCCTCCCGCCCTCACCGACTCGCAGGCGGAAGGCGTTGAAGGAGTGTCTGTTGATGCCGTCCAGCTTGCTCATCAGGGCGATGCTGAACTCCACCAGGATGCCGATGTGGGCGTGCTGCCTGGCCAGGCCCTGCGGGGTGCGCCCGTCCTCCTGCCCGCAGAGGGTATACACTGGAGCACCCCGCCTGGGGGCACTGGTGCCCCAGCACGGCCATCGCAGCCATGGGAGGGCCCGCAAGTGGCAGAGAGGGGCCAGGGGCTCCTCACGGGGGCTGGGTCTGCTCCCCGACCAAGCCAGGAGCTCAGGGATGGACGGCAGCGAGTGGGGCGCTCCCTTTGCAGCCTGTCGGTGGCGGGTCTGGAGGGCCACCGAGTTTCCCTTCCCAGGGGGACGGGCCAGGGGCCACCAGGCTTGCACAGTACCTGGCTCTCGAGGCCCGAGGGGGTGCTGAGTCCTGCAGCCGCCATGTAGGTGCTGCCGATGGTCTTGATCTTCTCCACGCCACTGAACTTGGGCTTTAGCAGCAGCTGCAGGGAGAGGGGAAGCGGGGTGAAGCAGGGCCACCCAACCAGCCAGACGCCCCGATTCTGAGGGGTGCAGGGCTCCCTCCCACGGGTGCTGCTCAGGCGGGCGTGTTTCACGCTTGGCCCTTCCGGACTGAGCTCAGTGTCACCGTGGGGACCTGGCCTCTGGGTTCTCTTCCCCCCCCCCCACTGCCCTGGTGGTGGGGGTCACAGCACCGACAGGCATGTCGGTTGCTCGCAGTGACTCGGCCTAAAGCGCCAACTTCCTGGGAAGCCGCTTGCCGGCGGATCGGGCGGTCGGACAAGCTGACACTAAAGCGAGGCCACTGCCGGCACCGCGGTGCTAGCACAGCGCCCGCTGAGGCAGAGGCCGTGGAGGGCTCCTGCGGCGGGGCGCCCTGCTAGGCGCAGCTGCACTGGGTCACGGTGTCCCTCGGGGCAGGCAGCCGCCCATGCCACCCCCACTCCCGCTCCGGAGCGCAGCGGGCCCCGCCCCAGCCGCACCTCGTCGAAGTCGGAGATGATCTCATTGAGCAGGCGCAGGCACTCCAGGCCCTCCTTGTTGACGTCGCACTCCGTGTAGAACACCTTGAAGTCCGGCACTGATGCAAACATGACGCAGACGCAGTCGTAGGACTGATGGTACCAGTCCTGAGGAGAAGAGTGGGGGCGGGCGGTGCTTGGGGCAGGCGACCGCATGATTCTCAAGCGGGCTGTTACACATAGCGCCTGGGGGCTCCTGGTTAAGTCGCAGCGCCATCACCTCTCGGCCCTGGCTCGATTCCTGCCCCGGAGTGACCCACACAGCGTGGCAGGCCTCCCCTGTCTCCCCGCTGCTCCCCTCAGCAGTGCACTTCATCATCTGCCTGTTCTGCTCCCC